ATTCCAGTTACTCGGGAGGCTGAGGCAGGAGAATTGCTTGAACTTGGGAGACAGAGGGTACAGTGAGCCGAGATGGTGCCACTGCACTCTAGCCTGGGCAAGAGAGCAAGATTCCATCTGGAAAAACAAAGTTCTTCAGACAACAAACACGTCCCTGCCATTTCCATGAAAAGGTAGAATTACCATGAAATTTGAGTTTACAATATTTGAGTTTACAAAATTTTTTTTAGACAATCTCCCTCTGTCAGCCAGTGGTATGATCATGGCTCACTCTAGCCTCTCACGCCTGGGCTCAGGTGATCCTCCCACCTCAGCTTCCCAAAAAACTGGCACTACAAGTGCACGCTGGCCACCATGCGCATGTAGTGTTTTTTTTTTTTTTAAGAGATGGAGTCTCACCATGTTGCCCAGGGTGGTCTCGAACTTCTGGACTCAAGCAATTCTCCCACCTTGGACATCCAGAGTGCTGGAATTACATGCATGAGTCACTGTGACCAGCCTGCTTAATCTGACAGTCCCCATTTTACAGGCAAGGAAACTAGGGAAAATTTAGTTAGCACCTCGCTGGCTTTTACATAGTCTTTGTGAATGTTTTCCTCTAATTCAGCTGTGGGGATTGAGAAATGTTTGACTACTATGTTGTGTGGATGCCTTGTCATTAAGAGAACCTCCGAATTGCATATGTGTGGAGAGAAGAAAATGAGGACCTGTCTACTTTTAATATCCCCAATGAGTCATGGCTTCTAAAAAGACACACCCTGCTGCTCATAATTGTAAGTTCTCATGGGCAGGCCAAGCTGTCAAATGGGCAAAAAATGCAGAGACCATAGCCACTGGGTCTGGTCTACATCTGAAAGTAAGGTAAAGTTTTGGGGTAACCAGTATTTTGCTTTTCAGCTTTTAGCCTGAGGCAGGTTGCAAAGGGACAGACAGCGTCTCTTTCAGTCCCTGCAGTTGACTTTCCTCTTGGAGGAGACTTTCCTCCAGATACATCCACAAGGCAAAACTGTCAGGGTTTTCTTGGGTTAGGGGTGGGGGGCCACCAGAGTGGATCTCTTCAAAAAGGCTCTGATAAGGCTGGGTGTGGTGGCTCACGCCTGTAATCCCAGCACTTTGGGAGGCCAAGGCGGGTGGATCACAAGGTCAGGAGTTCAAGACCAGCCTGGCCAACATGGTGAAACCCTGCCTCTACTAAAAATACAAAAATCAGCTGTGCATGGTGGCATGTGCCTATAATCCCAGCTACTCAGGAGGCTGAGGCAGGAGAATCGCTTGAACCGGGACCCAGGAAGCAGAGGTTGCAGTGAGCCAAGATCATGCCACTGCACTCCAGCCTGGGCTGTAGAGCAAGACTGTGTCTCAAAACAAAACAAAACAAAACAAAACAAAAAGGATCCAAGAAATGGGCGCTTCCTGGGGATGCTGCCTTGCTTTGGAGAAGTTCACTAAGCTCATAAGTTTGCATAGTTTGTCCAAAGAAGCCACAGGAATTACTGACACACCAGAATTTGTGCTTCGAGTGGGGCGTGACCCTCTGGACTACTGTGGACAGAGAGGTTCGAGGGCTGGGGCCAGCTCTTCTGCAGAGCAACAGGGTGCAGGGAAGGCTAAGGAGTGTTGGTCGTCACCAAAACGGTGGCCTTTCCCCAGCTCTCAGCCTGGAGAACCGCCTCCAGCTTTAGGCCAACTCCTCATCGCCTGAGGCAGGGCAGTTTGCTCAGGCCAGTCTTTTCTTTTTTTGAGCGTTTCCAGCCTCTGTTGCCCAGGCTAGAGTGCAATGGCACGATCTCAGCTGACTGCAACCTTTACTTCCCGGGTTCAAGCTGTTCTCTTGCCTCAGCCTCCCGAGTAGCTGGGATTGCAGGCATGCGCCACCATACCCAGCTAATTTTGTATTTTTAGTACAGACAGGGTTTCTCCATGTTGGTCAGGATGGTCTTGAACTCCTGACCTCAGGTGATCCACCCACCTTTACAGGTGTGAACCACTGCACCTGGCCCAGTCACTTCTTTAGCCACCTACAGTTCCCAGAACTGCCCTTTACTGTGTAGAAAAGTTGGGGATTTCCTGCTTCTACAGCATCCATCAGGACTCTGAAGTCCACACAAAATGTGTCACCTGGACAGTTGCAGCTGCCTGTGTTACCTGCTGCTAGTCTTTGTAAGGTACCCCATCTTGGTGTTTTTAATGTCTGCCCCTGGCATCGTGCCTAGTCTCTATGATTACATAAATGCCTGCAATGATGAAAGTGGCGACTCCCCATTTTCTACTTGGCTTTTGCAGGTCGGACTGAGCACTGTGGTGCTCCTTACATGTCTTACTGACTTCTAGTTGTTTTTTTGTATTAGTCCATTCTCAAGCTGCTGCAAAGAACTGCCTGCACCTGGGCGCAGTGGCTCACGCCTGTAATCCCAGCACTTTGGGAGGTTGAGATGGGTGAATCACCTGAGGTCAGGAGTTCAAGACCAGCATGACCAATATAGTGAAACCCTGTCTCTATTAAAAATATTACTACTCAGGAGACTGAGGCAGAAGAATCACTTGAATCCAGTAGGCAGAGGTTGCAGTGAGCCGAGGTGGCACCACTTCACTCCAGCCTGGGCAACAAGAGTGAAATTCAGTCTAAACAAAACAAAAACCCAAAAAACCTGCCTGAGACTGGAAAGGGGTTTAACTGACTCACATTTCCGCATGGCTGGGGAGGCCTCAGGAAAGTTAATCATGGTGGAGAAAGGGAAGCAAGGCACATCTTACATGGCGGCAGGAGAGAGCGAGAGCCAGGAGGGGCCACACTTTTAAGCCATCAGATCTCATGGGAACTCCACTATCTGGAGAACAGCATGGGGGAAACTGCCCCATGCAGTCACCTCACACTAGGCCTCTTCCTCAACATGTGGGGATTACAATTTGAGATTTTTATTTATTTATTTTTAATGATTTGTTTCCAGTGCAAGAGATGAGATTTGACTGAGGACAAAGAGCCAAACCATGTCACCATTCAAGCTTCTTCCGGGAGAACGTAGGGCTGTTTATTAAAAATTACAGGATTTATTCCAAATGACATGGTCCTTGCTCAAGAACAACAGGAGTAACTTAAGAACAAGGGGAGAAAGGGGCTTTAAGTTAGCAATCAGCATTGATGAAGAAACCTTTGAGAATCACCCCAAAACTGAAGTACTGATCAGCAGCCTGGCCCAGGCTCCTTAGAAATGAGACCTTGTACGTGTTCCTGTTAGACTTTTTTCTTTGAGACAAGGTTTCTGTCACCCAGGGTGGAGTGGAGTGGTGCGATCTCAGCTCACTGCAGCCTCTGCCTCCTGGGCTTAAACTATTGTCCCACCTCAGCCTCCTGAAAAGCTGGGAAACAGGCACGCACCACTATGTCTGGCTTATTTTTTTAAATTTCTGGTAGAGATAGGTTCTATGTTGCCTTGCTAAGACTTTGAAATAAGATATAATAGTGAAATAAGTGAAGGTTATTACTCTCATGGGAGTGAAAAGTTGAAGGTGTGGTTTCTTTCAGTAGAAAAGTGCTTGATTCTGTACACTCATTTCCATCTTCCCTACCTTGCTGGCTTATAGCTAACTCCTTGTAGGAAATGCTGTCACCATTACCTAAGCAGGCTACAGAGCTGCTTGTCAGAGCAGGACAGTTTATGTGAGTAGCAAAGACAAAAAAAGTCTTGTCAATGCAAGCATTGGGAGTGGAAAGACAACCCCTTATCGGTAAAATACAAAACTAGTCATGATAGCTTTTCCTTTGAGACAGGGTCTTATCCTGTCACTCACGCTGGAGTGCAGTGGTACAAATGGACATGTTTCAGGACTTTATGAGACGGGAGTCTGGCTTTGTTGCCCAGGCTGGAGTGCAGTGGCACAATTTCAGCTCATGGCAACCTCTGCTTCCCTGGTTCAACACATTCTCCTGCCTCAGCCCTCCAAGTAGCTGGGACTACAGGCATGTGCCACCATGCCTGGCTAATTTTTTGTATTTTTAGTAGAGATGGGGTTTCACTGTGTTGGCCAGGCTGGTTTCAAACTCCTGATCTCGGGTGATCCACCTGCTTCGGCCTCCCAAAGTGCTGGGATTACAGCTGTGAGCCACTGCACCTGGGCTATTTACTTTTGAAATGGAGTTTTGCTCTGTTGCCCAGGCTGGAGTGCAGTGGTTTAATCTCGGCTCACTGCAACCTCTGACTCCTAGGCTCAAGTGATTCTCCTACCTCAGTGTCCCGAGTAACTGGGACTGCAAGCGTGCAACACCACACCCTGCTGACTTTTGTATTTTTGATACGGATGGGGTTCACCATGTTGCCCAAGCCGGTCTTGAAGTTGAGCTCAAGTGACCTACCTGCCTCGGCTGCCCTCCCAAAGTGCTGGGATTACAGGTATGAGTCACCATGACTGGGCATGACAGCTTTTCTTACCTCTCATTCTGGTCACCTTATTCCAGATACATTTATATAATCTGCTTGCTCTCTTGAATTTGTTATAACACTATATATGAGTTTCATAATAAAATGCGTAAGTTTCAAAACTTGCAATGAATAGATGAACCATAGGCCAATATGAATAAAAGGCTGCTTTTAAGTTCTTAGGTTAAAAAAGTAACCTCTTGGCCAGGCCTGGTGGCTCACGCCTGTAATCCCAGCACTTTTTTAGGAGCCTGGGGCAGGACTGCTATGGTGAGCCATGACCACGCCATTGCACTCCATCCTGGGCAACAGAGTAAGACTTCATTAAAAAAAAAAAAAGCCACCCCCAAAACCAACATCTTGTTTGGAAATTCCGAATGTCCCTCAAAATTTATTATTACACTATGTTCTTCCTTAGTCACTGTAAGCTGCATCAGAGTACGTAGCCAGGAAGTTTAAAGGTGGCTTTTGATTTCTTATTACGATATTCAGACTCCAGCATCTCAACAGAAAATATGCAAAGACATTTTATCAACTTGTGACATACCAGGGATACATGAATATTCAGGGCTCCACACTACTATATAATGCTGCATTTCTTGGTTTTATTTGAAACAGTGCATATCTTTAGCATTTTATGGTAGGATTTTACACTTGTCATTTACACAAATTACAAGGTTCTGCTTCAAGTTTTTAAAAAAAATTTAAAAATTCAGCCCATGTGCAGCACAATAATATGCAAAACTACTTTACATTATACACACTTTATATCAAAGGAGATACAAAATTCTGGCTTGTAGTTTTAGACAAATACAAGAAGCTTCAAACTAGACACAAAGGGTTAATATTAATTCTCAAATATAAGTCTGCACTTTTGTGTTGTAGTTCTCTGAGATGTGAATACCAAATTCCTAAGGGATTTTAATGTTTTCCTTCAAAAAGGAAAACTAAAAAATTTCCCGTAAATAAGTCCCTCCCCATCAGATCGATCTCTCTACAATCCTACTCTTGCTTCCCTTAGTGCCAGACACTTGCATCATATTACAAAACGGGTGGGCCATTTACATCACACAAGGACCAGATCTTGTCTTTCAAGTAACTTGTCTCCTGCAAAAATCTAAACAGGAATATATTGATGCAGATAGTTCTGCTACGTTTTAATATGATGTCACACTTGGTAATTAAACTGTGATGTTGGGCAATTAATCAAAGGGAGGAAGAGCCAAAGGCCCTATCAATGCACTTTTTGTTGGTGACACGAAGGAAACCTTAGGAATCAAGTTGTCTGATGCTAAGAGAACTTTAAACTCTTTCTAAATGTAACACACCTACTGCTTGCTTGAGGGACTTCTCTGATACTTATGCATAGATACTCTTTTTTCAGCATGTTGGAGGCAATATTTTATACTTTCTAAAGGGTTCTGAAGAGGCAATAAGGAAGAGTAGGGCTTTTTCTGCCCCTGCGAAGGTATCGTTTTCTATCATTGGCATCCACTGTTCCCTAACCATCTTCTGAATACCTGAATGTGTGTGTATATGCATATTTAAAATAATTACCCATCTTTCAATCCGTACACAGCCAACTCTTGATTATCTATGAGAACGTTGTGACATTTACTCTCAAACTTCACTCTACAGAATCATCCACCTTTGATGCGCATCAGTTTCTTTTATATCCCATGTATACTAACTACAGCCTATCCAGACCAAGTTATAACATAAATGTTGTTTGTTTCCTTTCACCCATGCTAGGAATGAGTAAGAAAATGAAGTCAGCACATTCTCCCAGGGCTTTGCGGATGACCCTATAGTGAACAATGGGGGAGGACCGAACTCTGGTCATGAGAAAAGACAAATTTCAAGTTCCTCCGGAATCAGGTCTTATATGCCTTCTTTATTTTGTAAGTTTATGATTACCAAAAAATTAAAAACCTGAGGCATAGTCACTATTTTATATAGATAATGGAGAGTTGACTGTAATCATGTTATGACTTTAGCTCTTTAACATGAAAAAATTCACAAGCATATGATAAAAAGATTAAAAAGACTGCCATATAACATCTAGAAGCATTTATTTTATGCAAAAAACTTAAATATGATTATGTGTACACAAAAAGTGCACACATTACCTATGCTGAACAATGCCAAGGAACATAACATATTGATGCAACAGCTTTCTAAAATAAACATAAAAATGAGCTCAGACCATCAGACCAAAGCAAAACACTTTTTTCCCAATAGCACAATGCTGAAAATTGACAGCAATCCTAAAACACCTCCAACGTTCCTTACAAAGCTGCCAAAGGCCAACTATTTTTTAAAAATTGACTTTTTTTTTTTTACATTATTAATAAAAATCTGGTGACAAACATTATAAAACCAAATGCTGGACAGTCTTTACTCCTTTAAAATTCCAAATATTCCAACATAATCACAGGAGTAAAAACCATTTTAAAGTGATATGCTTTATGAAACAAACAACAATATGTACATTTATTGCAAATTATATTAAACTAAAATGAGGGGAAATCAAAATATGAACTGTTTACTACTTGCAAATCAATATAATTTTAATTATTTTCTCACTCTGATAAAAATCAGAAAGCAACATTTATAAAATTGCCACCACATCACTTTTCATAGCAGGGAACCGAAATCTGTACATCTCATTTTTGCAGAAAAGTAGGCAGGCAGAAAGAATTATACATAAAAGTTTCCAAAAGGAAAAACAAAGAAATATTTGATCTCTTTTCTTTTAAAAAATTAATTCAGTAGACTTCTATTTCTTCCTGTGTAACATGGGAATTCCTGGCTCTAAAATCGATGAATTTTCAGTGTCAGTGTAAAGACATCTTGTTACTTTCTTTAAAATAAAAACTGCAGCGTGGAAATTAATGGTGTATTATGCATTTAAACTCCAGATAGGCAGGAACTGGAACCAAGTGTTAAGCAATTTGCTTAATTATTGACTTTTCGTAAGAAAAGTCTAGGGGAAGGGGGAGAACAGAGTTGCTTTTAGCCTCTCTCTCAAGAGTTTCTGCTGTACATTTCCATCAGAGGACTTGTGGTCATGTGAAAAGGAAGTAATAGTTTCTTCAGTTTTCAAGGCAGAGAGTGTGTGTTCTGAAGTGAGCTTCATTTTCTGTTCAGGGACATTTGTGAATCCAAGTTTTTGCAGAAGCTGGAGCCTGCTTCTGTTTGGCCTTCATTTTCTCCCTCTGCAAATGCCTTTTTACCTTAGGAATAAGAATAGAATGCAGTTAGAAAAGACGTGGAGAAGATACAAACCAAACTAAAATGATTTCATTTCTATAGCTGTTATCTAAAATCTTTATTTAAAAAAAAAAACTTAAGCATCAGGGTCTCACTGTCACTCAGGCTGAAGTTCAGTGGCATGATCATGGCTCACTGCAGCCCCAACTCCTGGGTTCAAGTGGTCCTCCAGCCTCAGCCTCCCAAACAGCCAGGACTGTAGGCACACCACCATGCTTGGCTAATTTTTAAATTCTTTGTACTGACAGGGTCTCATTATGTTGCCCAAGATGATCTTGAACTCCTGAGCTCAAGTGATTCTCCCGCCTTTGCTTCCCAGAGTCACTGGGATTACAGGTGTGAGTCACTGTGCCTGGCATGTTATCTAAAATCTTAAAAAAAGATTTTTCATTTTTTTCTCCTGAAACTTGGTTTAAAAAGCCTTTCCCTAAACTATATTAAAAACAAAACACCAATAAAGAAGTTTTTTTCAATGATTTAGTACTGCTATCCAATGCCCTATTTGCTATTTATTTGAAATGACTATAACTTTTAATTAATATTTAAAAAAATGTTATTATGGAAGAAAAATTACAGGACACTATGGCAAAATGAATTTGTAAAAGGAAAATAACTTCCAACTCTTGAGCTGGATAAACATATACATTTTAGCATACTAAATAAGCCCCAACAACACCAGGAAGAAAAATTAGTTTTATTATTATTATTATTTTTTAAAGATGGGGTTTCACCATATTGGTCAGGCTGGTCTCGAACTCCTGACCTCAGGTGATCCGCCCACCTCAGCCTCCCAAAGTGCTGGGATTACAGGCGTGAGCCACCATGCCCGGCGCTTTATTATTTTTTTTAAGAGATAAGGAGGAATCCTCCATTCATCCCATTTCCCTAAAAGGAATGAAAATTCTGATCCCTGGGAGCATGGGACATGACCTCTTTCTCACCTCCTCTCACCTACTCCTCTTTGGGAGGAGGAGGAACTCATCTCACAGATGAGATGAGGAAAATAAAGGAGCATGTTGGGTTTGGCTTCATCTAGATTTGTTCCTTTGCCCTGAGAGGGGCATTCTGGTTTTTGTCTGTGGCTGTTCAATTCAGAGGCAAGGTTGCATTAGCAGCCCAACTTGCCTAATTCATTCTACATTTTTAATCAGCCTGATTAGTAATAAGACTGTCTCCTTTTCAACAATTTTACATCTGGAAGAGAAAGAAAGATATATTTCCAAACTCCTCTACTACATACACATTCTATGAAGGTAACAATGCCAAAAAAGCTAAGTGATTATTACAATTCTTACAGGGACTATTAATTGGTTATACTATTTGAAGCAATTTTAACAATATGCTATTGAAGAATTCTTTACAAGCTGGCTGCTACACCTTCAGGAAGCTTCCCTTTCCCAGCCCTGAGTCCTCTGTATCTCCTGGGCTGCTCTCTCAGACTTCTGAAAGACCCAGGTCACTGGAAGAATCTCCTGGACTTGATTCTATGTACCAAGATGAACTGCCATCACTGCAAGCACTTGGATTCTGAAAAATTTCATGTTATTTTGAGAAAAATTCACTTGTTACTGAAAAAACATTCATATTAAACTAATATGTAGCTGTTTAACACATGAAGATACACACTTGAGGGTATATGCTTAAGGGTTACTTTAATTTTAAGATATGAACCCACATGACGGGAGGAAACCTTCTCAATATACAAATAAGACAAAAACTCCATAACTTCTTTGCTTAAGAAAAACAAATTCTAAGATCCTTGAACACTCCCACACTAAGCATGCTAAACAAACCATGTTAATCCAAAAACTAGAAACTCATAGTCTGCTATCCTACAGATATTCTCTTTAAATTCAGATTCTTCAGAAGTCTCAAATTTGAGGCTGTCTTTCCGTTGATGTTTATTAACAAACTCATCTTCAAGGAAAAATTTGGCCTTAAGTGTAAGCAAAACATATTCACGAATCAGCAAATCTACTAAGAACATATTTTCAATTCAAAACATTGGGAACTGTTTGCCCTTTGAATGACAGCCTTAACACAAAGAGGCAAAACAAGTGAACTAAACTACTGAAATGATGATCATTCCTTCATCCCAAACTCAGAGAGCCGACACTAATGTCCATCTAATATTGCTGACTGTTTCCTGACCACAGTGCAAATGGCTGATTTTTATTGATTTTATCGGGTGAACTGAAGGAATTTTCTCAAAAGGAGTAAGTCCAAATGCAGCCCAAAACATAAACAGGAATACTTACTGAAACCAACATAAATGCAAATAGCTGAAGGAATGAAGGAATGTATTTACCACAAAAATCCAAAGGGATCTAAAAATTCTAACGTTAACTTTACAAGTTAAAATCCCCAGCATCAACTCCCAGATAAAACTGAGGCCAGTAACTTTTTGCATATCCTCTCTGTTTTGGTGGAAGGAAGTATTCCTGAACCAGTAAATAAACCATTTGGGTAGAAGTCAAGGTAAAACTAATCATTATTGACCAATCTTATGAGTAAAAACCTAGTAAAAGGAATTCTGCAAGGGTTTGCACTTGCCCCACATTAGAAGTTATGGCTGTGGTATTAAAATGGCTCTAGAGGTCAGGTGTGGCTCATGCCTGTAATCCCAGCACTTTGGGAGGCCAAAGCAGGCAGATCACCTAAGATTAGGAGTTTGAGGCCAATCTGACCAACATGGAGAAACCCTATCTCTACTAAAAATACAAAGTTAGCTGGGTATGGTGGTGTATGCCTGTAATCCCAGCTACTCGGGAGGCTGAGGCAGGAGAATTGCTTGAATCCAGGAGGCAGAGGTTGCAGTGAGCTGAGATTGCACCACTGCACTCCAGCCTAGGTAACAGAGTAAGACTCTGTCTCCCCTAAAAAAAGGCTCTAGAAGCTTAAAACTTCAGAAATCTACCTAAAAGAACTGAAGATGAAAAGAAGTAATGAACCCAAAGCGTAAACTGTAGTTGGCATATACTAGGGCCTCAAGCAAGTGAAAGGTGTGGAGAATCACACAAGGTAACAGAAAAGACTGATAAATTGGGCATCTGAAGTTAGAATGCAGGGCCACAGAGAAGCACAAGGGTGCCAGGCCTTATTTATTAAATAAAACCCAGGGCTGATCTTAGTGCAGCAATCCAGGTAAGACTCCACAATGTAACCTCTAAGGAGAGCTGATTCTATCACTCTGGGTTCATCTGTAGCTCAGCGATGTGTTTGACTGCTCTCAGGTTTGGCACTTCTGTGTCTTCTCTTACCAGTCAGTTGGTTGAAACTGTAACGATATAACCTTAACAGGATGATCCTCAACCAGGTCTCCGGAAAATGCAGGTGGAATGTCAAATCACTCATAGGGAATACTTGCACTTAATGAGAGCAATGTTTAGAATCTTGTAGCAAGGTGGAAGCTACAGTTCCACATGAAATACAAATTGTACTTTCAGGATTCTGACCATTCAACTGAAGGACAGTCAAAACATCAGCTGAATCACTGTCAATAAACTTCTGTTTTAATGTGTGTATTTTTAAATTTTAGCAGTAAATACATACTAACACATCTCCTCTTACACATTAAGAAAAAAGGAGTTTGAGGCCGGGCGCAGTGGCTCACGCCTGTAATCCCAGCACTTTGGGAGGCCGAGGCGGGCGGATCACGAGGTCAAGAGATCAAGCCCATCCTGGCCAACATGGTGAAACTCCGTCTCTACTAAAAATACAAAAATTAGCCGGGCGCGGTGGCTCAAGCCTGTAATCCCAGCACTTTGGGAGGCCGAGGCGGGTGGATCACGAGGTCAAGAGATCGAGACC